CAGTGAGCGGGAACCGGTCTGTATGTGGGATCCGAACCCTCGGCGGGAGCCCCGCCACACTCCCAAGCGGCGCACTGTAGCAGTGCGCCACCGGGCCGGCCCATGATTTCAGTCCTTTAAAAAGACTTTTCCATAAGAGAGTAGCAGAAGAATTATCTGAGTAAACATGCTTATATAATTTGAGGGGCTTTTTTTATTATAAAATTTTAAAAAATATTTAAGAAATATTTTAGATGCATTGCTACTTACCCCCCTTATTGATGGCTTTGAGGTATAATTTACTTGCCATAAAATTCACCCATTAAAGTGTACAGTAACTATCACAACACAGTTCTTGAACATTATTCCACAAAAGTTCTCTTGTGCCCCTCGTAGTTAATCTCCACTCTCATCCCTGGCCCAGGCAGCTAATGACCTGTGTTCTTTCTCATGGATTTGCCTTTTCTGGACATTTCAGATAAATGCAACCTTATGTCTTTTGCATCTGGCCTCTTTCACAAAACATAATTATCTTGAGGTTCATTCATTTTGTAGCATGTATTAGCATTTTGTTCCTTTGTATTGCTGCTAGTATTCCACTGTATGGATATACCACATTTTCTCCATTTAACAATTGATGGACAGTTGGGTTGTTTCCACTTTTGGCTACCATGAATAATGCTGCTATGGACACTGGTGTATAAGTCTTTTTGGATATATTTTCATTTCTCTAGCAGTGGAATTGCTATGTCATATGCTAAGTGTATGCTGAACTTTTAAAAGAAAAATGCCAAACTGTTTTCCTAATTGGCCATACCATCTCACATGTCCATCAGTAACATATGAGTAAGTCTAGTTTCTCCATGTCTTTTCCAACACTTAGTAGTGTGTTTAAAATTTTTTTTATATTGGGTTGTTTGTCTCATTGAGTTCTTTATGTATCCTGGAGACAAGTCTACCTTTATCACATATATGTTTTTTAGCAATTTTCTCCCAGTGCATGGCTTATCTTTTTTATTTTGTAATATGCAAGGAGATCATTTGTGTTGGCAGACATGGCTTGTGGGAAAACCACAAGCAACATGCACTAATGCATCTGTTCTTCACACTGCTTCTGTGAGGTAGGTACTTTTATGGTTCCCCTTTTGCAGATGAAAAAACTAGGGCACAGAGACATTAATTTGCTAAGGTTACACAGCTAGTAAGTGGCACAGCTGGGCTTTGAGTCTAACTAGTTTGGCTCAAGTTTGTGCCCTGAACTACTATACTGTGCTGCTTCCCAGCAGAGGCTGTGCAAGTGGGTTTGCTTTTGTGACTTACCACCCATACTTCCATGCACAACACTTGCCCAAGCCTTAGGCCTGCCATGGGTTACACTCATATTCCAGAACTTAGGAGTTCGTGTGGGAAGCACACATGAAAGTTTCCATTAGTCTCTGCAAAATTTGGCATTGACAGCAAGGTTCTTCCACTGGGGGCCTTCCACGGTGGCTCCTGGATGGAGGTGAGATTGGTGGGGTGGGTTGTTCACAGAATCCTACCTTTTCTTTGTACTTGTCCAACACTTCTCCCCCGCCCCCCACCCCCACTCTCATATAATAGAGTAGCCCATGCTGGAGACATAATCTACTTACCTTCTTATTCAATTCAGAGTTGAAATCTTTTATTATTAGTATTATTAATGAAAACTGCCTTTAAAGACAGTGTAAGCAACAGCTAAGAGGTTTTCTTTTCCTGAAATATGGAAAACATAAATTTTCAGAAATTTTAATTTCAGAAAACCAAAATACTTAAGCTATTTAGAAAAAAAAAAAAAAAAGGGAATGAGGAGACTCAAAAGAAATGCTGACAATCCCAGCCCTGATCTAGTGAGCACCTGCTCTGTTCCAGGTGGTAACTGAAGCACTTTGCAGTTTCCTTAATCCTCGCAATTCTCCAGGAAGACCAGCATCACCCCATCTTAAAGAGGATAAGGACACTTAGCCCACCACAGGACAGAACTAGAATATGAACAGAGTCCAAATTTATTGCACGATTGTATGAATACTCACCTTACACTTCATTACAGAGAAATATGAAAAACCCAAGGAAGATCCCAAAGAAAAACTCAACACGTGGGTCCATAATATGTATATCTTTTTTGTGAACACATTCTTCCATGCATATAAACATGAAGAAACTCTCAAGGAGAAAATAAAGGAAAATAGATTACATTATGCAGCAATGGCTCAACAGAAGAAAGCTGAAAATGATGAGCTGGAAGCAAGGTAACTTGTGAAACTCCTCAGTCCTTCTCTCCTTCATGAGCTCAGGTATCTTTCTTCCCTGTCTCCTGAAGCTACCAGAAGTATTCATTAAAAGTATACAAATTCCTAAGGGTGTCTTGACACACTAAATATTTGGTCTCTGCTCCTGGCTCCTGGCAGAGCTTCTAGAACTTTAACTTCCTGAGTGATAGGGTGACAACAGCAACTTTTGTTACATGAGGGTAGTTCAAAAAGTTTGTGGAAAAATAGAATTAAAAAATAATATGAATCCTTACATGAACTATTTGAAGTCCCATCGTAATATTTGGTATTAGTTCCTGGTTCCACACAAGAGCACCTAAGACCATTGGACTTTCTGGAGTGATGCTACTACTGTCTTTTTCTCTGCTGATCGGATGACTGGTAGCCAGGGCCCTAGAGCTTCCATGAAAGCTGGTCACCAGAGGAACCAACCATGTGATTAGAGGGCTGGCACTTTTAGCTCCACCTCCTTAGCCTCTGGGAAGGGGGGGGCTAGAGATTGAATTCAGTCACCAATGGCCAATGATTTAATTGATCATGCCTACATAATGGAACCTCCATAACAACCCTAAACGATGGGGTCTGGAGAGTGTCCCTGTTTGTGAATGCATCCATGAGAGGGGAGGGTGGCACACTGCAAAAAGTCTATGGGGATAGAAGCTCCTGTACTTGGGACCCTTCCAGACCTTGTCCTATGTACCTCTTCACCTGCCATCCCCCCTTTTCTGTGGCTGGCCAGTTACAGGGATCTGAACCCTTGACCTTGGTGTTGTCCACATCAAGCTCTATCAACTGAGCCAACCAGCCAGCCTCTGGCTGTTCATTTTTATCCTTTATAGTATCGTTTATAATAAACCGGTAAACATAAGTGTTCTCCTGAGTTTTGTGAGCCATTCTAGCAAATTATTTAACCTGAGGAGGGTTTCATGGGCATCGCCTATTTATACTTGGTCAGAAATATGGGAGGCCTGGACTCGTGACTGGTGTCTCAAGTGGGGACAGTGTTGTAGAACTGAGCACTTAACTTTTGGGGTCTATGCTAACTCCTGGTAGGTGATGTCAGAATTGAATTGAACACAGGGACACCCAGGTGGTGTCAGAGAGTCAGTCAGTGTGGGGGAAAAAACCCATCGCATTTGGTGTCAGAAGTGTTGTGAATAGAGGAAGAGTTGTTCCTTTTAGGGTCATGTCCTCTTCTGGTACAGAGAACTTGTGGCTAACCAGGTTGGCCTGTTTTCTCCTGGTTGTCTAAGTTGGTGATGACATTTGCACCCTAAAGCTCACATGAAAAGGCAATAGGAAGTAGTGGCTGAGAGCACAAGCCACAGATCTAGACTGCCTGGGTTCAAATCTCAGCCTCACCACTTGACACTTGGGCAACCTTGGGCAAGGTCCTTCACTCTGTATGCCTCAGTTTTCTCATCTGTAATGTGGAGATAATACCTCATAGGACTGTTGTGAGGATTAAATGAGCTAATGTTTGTGAAACACCTAGAACACATGGCCTGGAACATGGTAAGCACCCAGTAAATGCTGCCCACTTACCTTTGAGAATCACAGTTGAGGCTCACCTCTGTACAGTCATGTCAGGCTGAGTACAGCCCCTTGCCCTTCGTAAAGTGCAACTCCACCTACTGAAGAGAGCATTATTCTATACTTAAAGAAAAAGAATACATGAGGTATTTTAAAAGGCCACTTACTAACTGCTAAATTGCTGGAGAGAAAAGTGATTCACAAATCACTTTTGATATGCAAAGATTTTATTTTGGACTGTCTAGATACTGCATCACTTATTTCAGGCAAAGTGATGACAATTTAGTTTTGTTTACAAGCTGTTGAAATACAGGTATGGGCTACTTTACATGCTATACAGCATAAAAACTGGTTTTAACATTTCAAAGGGGCTGGCTCAGTTGGTTAGAGCCTGATATTACACCACCGAGGCCAAGGATCCCTTTCCTGGCCAGCAGCCAAAAAAATTTCAAAGAAAAAAAAGTTACCTTCTTGTGTTTACTTTTAGGCTGAGTATCTTAAGAGAGGAAGAGGCCAAAAGACAAGACTATGATGTTCACATCACTGTGATCAAGGATCCGGCAGATGTACCATCTTCTCTCTTCACACCAAGCCCTCCCAAAGAGGACACAGCGATGTCCCAGTCCAGCAAGTCCATCACAAGCAAGAAGAAGAAAAAGTAAAGGATACTTGTGTTGGGAATAAGCCACAAGAACAACAAGCAAATGTGACAGAGGCTTAGAACTGCAAGCACTGTAACAGATATCCTGAACAATAAAATTGTTTGCATTTTTTTTGTTTTGGTGACTGGCCCTTGACCTTCATGTTATAACACCATGCTCTAATCAACTGAGCTAACCGGCCAGGCAGCATTTTGCTTCTTATTTTAGTGTTTTTGAAATCCTCCTACCTTGGTCTACTGTGTTTCAGGTATCCTACATGGTTGGATCACTGAAATGCCTGTATTTGAGTTGAATGAAAATACATGCATATGCACATTAAATGTGTGTATTAAACATGCTTTAAAAAATCCAAGTGTGGTACTGGTGATTAGGTTTAGAGTCTGATAAAATGGATCAGAAGGCAGAGGGGAGTGGATGAAGTTATTTAAACATTTCTTCATGGTGATGCCTTTGCCCCTGGTAACCACCCTGTGTCCTTCACATGTCATTTACATGGCCCCTTCCCTGGTCCTGTCCCACAAATGCCCACAGCACTGCCCATCGCATTTAGAAAATGCCAAACAAAAACAGCAATTCTAGGAAACAATAAGAGAAGGAGCAGGCATTTGATGGGTAGTTAAATGAATACTTTTAGTCTTTGTTTGAAAATTTTATAGGTAATAATTTATGTTAACATTTAAGGGTGACCACCAGAAAAATAAAAATGCAATCTAAAGCTTCCAAACTAGCAGAAGAGACTAAGAAAATCATGAATCCAACATAAAGCTGGGGAAAAGGAAAACAACAAAGGAGAAGGATGGTAAACAGAAAACAAAAGATGGAAGGGACAAGTGTAAAATATATCAGCAACTACCAATGTAAACAGATTAAATGCACTCATCCTGCTTGGAGAAACTTATGTTGAGAGAAATAAGCAAGGCACAGAGGGATAAATACTGCATGAACTCATTCATAAGTGAGAGCTAAGAGAGAAAGAAGGAAGGAAAGAAAGACCACAGTGGTGTATTGGACTTGCAGAGGGAGAGAGCAGACCTAGGGATATAAAGTGGAGTCGGGGAAAGGGGGATAGGGAGGGAGGTTGGGGATAATCGGGTGGGGGACATGGGGTATAACTGCAATTTGTAGTAATGGGCATGCTGCCAGTATGGATCTGGCCATCACATCTCGGGCACGAGTGGTGACAATCAGCTTTGTATCTCATGAATATTCATAACCAATTTAAAAAGTACTCTGCAAAATAAATAAATAAATAAATGCACTCATTGCTGTTCCCCCCAAATCAAACCCAGAGATAATCAGATTGGATTAAAAAATATAAATTCACCTCAATGTTACTGTTTACAAGGGAAACATCTAAAAACCACATAGAAAGGATAAAAATATACAGAAAAAGATGTACCAGGCAAATCTAATCAAGATGACTGGAACTGCAAGCAATATTAAAAACAGATGAAACAGAATTTAAAGCAAGCACCTGCATAAATGGGGTAAAAGGGATAAAATCAAGATAATGGTAAAAGGACCAACAAACAAAAAGGAGCATTACTCACATGCATCTACATATCAGCCTTGCACAAGCTGACAGAATTCCAGGGAAGAAAACTACAATCATGATGGAAGAAATGGGATCAGGAAGACAAAAAATTAGCAAACAGATAATTTAAGCAACTAAACTAAAAAGTCTGAACTAATACATATAGTTAGGAACCAGAATGCAACAGATAGTAAATATTGACAAAAACACTGACCACATTTTAGGTTGGAAAGTGCAACAATTCCAAATAATACATCATAGACCATGATCTAATTGCTGTGCAACCAATAAATCGGCAATGAATGCCCACAATAAACAAAGTCTAACATGACTGGAAACTAAAAAGTGAAATCTTAATACATGGATTAAGAGAAAATCACAATGAAAGTTGTGAGTTATTTGACTGAGTGACAATGAAAATACTACAAATGGATGAAGCCGTTTCCTCCTCCCCTCCCTAACGTAACAGGCTCTTGCAGGTTAAGTGAAGGAGTCTGTACAGCCACTTCTAGGGCTGGGGAAATACTATCTGGCTATTTTTCACCCAGACCCTGGGATGTCCAGATCACCAAAAATGAGGTTAAGTAAAATGCAGCCAGACTTCATCTCCACTGTGAAGATGCACACAGAGTTGTGGCTCCTGGGGACTTCTCCATGACAAATAAAGAAAAGAATGCTTTCTGTTTAGACCACACTATGGCACTTTCATTTAGTTCTTTGTATTTACATTAGATGTGGTCTAAAAATCACAGCAGTACTCAGGATGAAAATCAAGTCTAGCAATTACTTTGGGCAAATGCCTCAGTATTCATCACTTCAAGTCTTGTGACTGAGGAAGGGACCACATCTCTGAGCAGGTCTAGCTGCTGGAATATTGACCATGAGTTTTTAAATCCCCACGGCATGACCCACTAGCCAATGCAGTCTACAAATGAACAGCAGAAGAGACTCAATACAAAAGCAAAATTTTAAAAACTTTAACAATTTATTAGTCTTATTTTCCAGTAAAATATTCACATAATGTCAAAAGAATGGAATGAGATATAGCCAACTACCCTTAATTAATTCCACATAAATATTTAAAATCTAAAAACCTCAGGGGATCATCAGACCAAGTAGAAATTTGATTCTTCAAAGCAAGTATTGCTTTACTATTGTCATTAATCCAGTCAATAATATGACCAATAACTTGCAATGGTAAACAAAATGTTTGCTGAGTTTTTAAAAGATGTTTTTGGAGAGCCATTATCAGTCAATCCAGGAAGAATATGTTGTTGAACTGCGTTGCGCAAAGTTTCTTTACTTCTTCTGCAAAAAGAACAGAAAACAGTGAGTGAGGAATAGAGGTTCTTACTTACAAGGTTATATAATATGTATTAGGATAAAATTTAAAAAGAATTAAAAGATAACATGAATCTTTCCAAGAACTTTTGGAAGACTCCCTTGTATATTACTACCTTAAATTCTTCTGGAATAAAGTTAGGAATAAATAAATGTCTGCATTAATTGTAACCATAAATCCCAGAAGACTAGGTACAAAATGTTAATAAACCGAGAGAAAGGGGGGAAAAAACCACCTAACAAATCCATGAGACCTCGATACTTTTTTTTTTTTCCTTTTTGTCTTTTTTTGTGACCAGCAACGGATCGCAACCCTCAGTGTCGCGCCCGTACCGGACCGGGACCGGCAACGGGATCGCAATCCCCGGTGTTGCGCCCGCACCTCGCTCAGCCAGTGAGCGGCTGGTCTGTATGTGGGATCCGAACCCTTGGCGGGAGCTCCGCCACGCTCCCAAGCAGCGCACTGTAGCAGTGCGCCACGGAGCCGGCCCTCGATACTTTTTAACATACTGAAACACTGCTTCTTTGGGCCTGAGAAGGCTTAAACCCAACACAAAAAGTGCCTAAGGCACCCACAGATTAGGGGATTAGGAGTACAAAATTGAAGATGTAGTCAATCTTGAGAAATCTGATGGAACAACACAAAAACTCTAGGTGCGACCTTGAATTGTAGATCAAATGCTCCAGAGAGATATCATTTTCGTGGTTTTACTAAATTCCCATTTTATTTATTTATTTTTACTTTTTTTTTGTTTGAGAGAAGATTTATTTTATCTCCTTCCCCTGTATAAATTCCCATTTTATTTTTTATTTATTTATTTATTTATTTATTTTCTTTTTTGTCTTTTTTCGTGTCTGGCAACGGACCGCAACCCTCAGTGTCGCGCCCGTACCGGACCAGGACCGGCAACGGGATTACAACCCTCGGTGCTGTGCCCGCCCCTCGCTCAGCCAGTGAGCGGGAACCGGTCTGTATGTGGGATCCGAACCCTCGGCGGGAGCGCCACCACACTCCCAAGTGGCACACTGTAGCAGTGCGCCACCGGGCTGGCCCATAAATTCCCATTTTAAATCAGGCATATATTCTGGTGTTTCTAATGCACACACTGTTAATATACATATTAATATGCCCTGTAAGACATATGCAAAAAAAAAAAAAAAAAGCTTCCACCTAACTTTCCCTACAGTTTGCACGTGGGGTGTGTCTCTCCCCACCTGTACCCCTCGTTGCTTCTGGTGTCAGGCAGAGCAACAAAGGGGCCCAACTTAGTGGATGTTGGATCTCCACCGTGGGAGCTTTCAGGATCCCACAAAGCAAGTGTTGGGCCACACTGTGCAGAGGACCAGACCAACTGCTTTGGCTGGGAGGCGGAAGAAAACTTCTGCATTACCTTTCTGCTAATAAACAGATAGAGATGGTTATAAGCTGCTATATGAACTTGGCAGCTCTGCATACAAAAGATGTGTTTTTATCACAGGATATTAAAAAAGGACTTTTTAATACACAGTATATAAAGCCACAGGGTTTTATTCCTTTTAGCACTGTAGAAAATAATTTTATTTTGGCCATTGTCAAGTTTCCTGTGTTACAGGAAAATCTGTCACATACTTCTTTAAGGAACTATGCCATAGATATAGAAAAACACAGAATGAATCAAATCTTGCTTTTTTTAAACCAACACTAGAAGCATCTGCTTAAAATCTCAATAGTCATGATTTGTTCTATTTACCATGTTTTTTAATACACTGAAAAGTTTTTAAATATCAGTGGCATTAAAATTCTGCTAAAATACCAAATCCCACTTACCATTTACTTCAATCAGGTTTGCATTTTTTTGATTCAAAATAACATATAGCTCCCGCTGATCAGACTTTTTCCCAACAACCCAATAATCACTCATTGCTTTCACGATGATTTCTTCATCTTCATCCACTCTGTAAGACAAAAGTTTCAAAATGTAATAGTTTGTTATAAATATAGCTAGATTGTGAAAAACAAACATTCCAAAACAAGAACAGGAAACTAAATAGGCATTTAAAAGTTCAGGGAGTCATATGTGAGTGAACCCGGTGACTTCTGGGCTTACAGATCTGTTTGGAAGCAGTGCCCACAAAAGTAGTCAAGCTCGAGGCCCTTTGAAAGGGCTCTGGGTCATGAGATTTAGAAAACAATTCTTTTAATGTCTTTTGTTAGAAAGGGGACACCTAATTTGAGAAATTGTTAGAATTACCTAGTGAAAT